TGCCTCTCACCTTCAGGGTTACTTTGCTACAACCTGATCTGAGGACCAGTCTGGCTGCTGAACCGAGCATCAAGGACCCCAGGAGCCTCTCAGACGCAACTGGGTTGGCCCTTGACCTGCTTAACAGGGCTCCTTTCCTTGCACTCCAGGCTCTGCCTTGTGCTGGCATTTTCTTTATTCCATTCTTGCTCTGTGAACCCAGCTGGTGGCAAACTTAAGTGCCACTTTGCTGACTGAACTTGCAGCGCACTTGCTGTGAGACTGAAAGAAGAGTGTGCCTGTCTCCTTCTGGAAACAAACAGATCTGCTGTATCAGAGGGGCTGGAATCGCCCAGGGGCCCCTGATCACCTAACTCCAGGCCTGGCAGCGGTGTCATTTCTCAGGATGGCTGTATTTGGGCTTATAATCCTCCAGTGTAACAGAGGAGTAAATAGGGGAGTGTTTTCCCAGAAGGATTAGCAGTTGAACTGCGAAGCGGGGAAAGCTTCTGTCAGCCCAGGGGTAGCTGCCAGCCCCGAGGATGTCTTGCGCAGAACAGTCACTTGGATCTGAACCCCTAGGAAGGCTCCAACTCCCACTGGTCCACAAGGTTGTTACACTAGAAACTGCAGGTGAGATGCCCCTGTGGGGGAACTCGTGCTGACGCCACCCTCTTCTGCAGGCATCTGGCCCTGGGCATGAGGACACTCACAGAGGCCTTCCTGCTGGGTGTGATGGGTAGCAGGCCAAAAGGATTGAGGTGGGGTGGCAAGACTGAGGGATGCTCAGTGAAGCCTTCTTGGTAACACTACAAGTAACAGTTCCTACCTATCCCCGCAGAGCTGCAACGGCTACAAATCCAATGTCTGGGGCACTTAACTCGCTGCAAACACAGGGACAAAAACCTAGAGACAAGGACAAGGGTAAGAGTTCAATCAGATCTCCAAGGCCCTGTGCCTCTGGCCTCCTCACTGTCCAGCTTCTGCCCCTCCTCGCTGGATGACAGTGGCCCAGACACCCCAGTTCACACTCTCACACACAGCTCACACACGTACACACAGTTCACACCTCACACATTCACACAGTTCACACTCTCACACAATCACACAGTTCACACTCTCACACATACACACAGTTCACACTCTCACACATACACACAGTTCACAGTCTCACACATACACACAGTTCACACTCACATACACACAGTTCACACACACATACACAGTTCACAGTCTCACACATTCACACAGTTCACACTCACACACATACACACAGTTCACACACTCACACAGTTCACACTCTCACACATATACACAGTTCACACTTTCACATATACACACGCTGCTACACAACAGAGTTAAGTCTGTACCCTACTGTGCACATCAGCCTTGGGTGCTGAGCTGTGGGAGGACTAACACACACACACACACACACACCTCATTTCCAGAGTGAAAAATTGTGATCATGTGCTTTTAAAATTAAGAACATCATCCTAAGAGTTGTTAAAAGATGAAAGAAAGAATTGTTCAAAATAAATGTTCCATTGCACAT